TTTGTTTTCCATTTTCAAACAAACCTCCCTAACTTGCATTTCCCAAAACAACAGCCAAGCTGAAATGTAGCTATCCTTCAAAATTCAAACTTCTCCGAATTTTGTGATATAGTTCTCCAATTCCCCCCTCCTCCCAAAGGCATATATTAGGGAAATTGTACTTAAAAATGTGTCTATTAGCAAAATATAACATTAAAAAAATATTATATTGGGAAAATGCTTGCCAAAATTTGTATATCTCAAATTCAGATTTGTTATTAAGGCAACATAATGCCAAACAGAAACATATGGACATAAATAATACATAAAAAACATATGAAAAGATAAAAATTTGACCTGTACAATAAATATACATTTAAAAAAGCAGAGTCTGAAGGTCTCAATGGAGGTCACATGGCTTTGGCTAAGTTGAGTAGCCTTCACTGCAAATTTGGCTGAATTAAATGCACAGGCGTGTTTATTAGGCAAAATCGCACACAAAAATACTAATGAATATTAGCGGGCACTTCACACAAACAAACAACACACATACACGTATTGCAACTTCAAGTGGACATGTAGCAAACCAAAGACTAGGAATATGAGAAACTGGAGCCAAAACTGACAGATAGTATTTTAGAGTTTTCCCTTCATCGTATGGAATCAAATATTTGCTCTCTGTGGACTGTTAATAAACCTGAATTGAACTGAACAATAGAGTGAACAGGAGATAAAAAAAAACAATTTAAAACAAAAGTACTGTTGTCCAGGAGAGCCAACCAAAACCATTTAAGCAGCAGAGCAGAACAAATTCAGCCAGGAAAAGCAGACATAGAAGAAAAACTAGAACTGGAAAATTATATCTCAAACAATCAAAGCTGGAATAAACAAGGCAGACTTCACCAAAAAAACAACTATCATTACTTTTGTTTAAGTGCGAAGCAGTCATAACTATGACTTGCTGCTCAAAACACTCACTTTGGTAGCTAAGTTTTGGAGCTGGTTTATCATAGATGAACATGTGAATTGGAGAGGGAATTGAACTTTCCATTCCTAAAAGGGACCCTGATAGTTGTGTAAAACCATCTTTCAAAATCCAATACTTTTTAAAAAGTAACCAAGGCGTTAGTAACGTTGCAATGGTAGCAGCAGGTAAATCAATCCAAATCCCTAGAGTTCTCTGATGAAATGCCAGACAGTGAGAAAATTAACCAGGCATCGCAGAGTAATCTTAGAAAATGAATTCCTGAACTTGGCATCACCACCAAGTAGGCCCTCTACTCACATCCAACCCAATCCAATGCAGGGCTTCTACTGGAGACTTGGCGTAGACCAAGACATCCATTTAGATTAGGGAAGATGAACCTATGGTCTTTCAGATGTTGTTGGACTATACCTCCCATCATGCCTGAACATAGGCTATGCTATCTCAGGCTGATGGGAACTGGAATGCAACAATATTCAGGTCCTACATCCCTACATTAGATATCCAGTCCCAAGACATTCAGGGCTTTGAAGGAAAGAACACTCACTTTGAATTGACCTGGAAATGAAACTGGAAGTTGGGAACTTTTCTGATACAGGAGAGCAGCAGACAGCAACTGTATGTGTGTGTGCGTTTAAATATATATAGGCCTTAGTCCTGAAGGAGAAAAATATGAATTGATATAAAGCATTAGATTAAGTGTTAGTCACCATTGCATTGTGAGTCAAGTAGATTAGGCCTCCAGAATGCATTATCCAACTAACTTTAGCAAATGCTGATAAATATGCATGAACTTCTTATTAGGATAGATTGCATTGTTATATTCCCAGTAATTTTTCAAAAATGCTTGAATTCTTGCAGACAATTTTCCATTGTGATCAACTTATAGGCAAGTACTGTTTGGGAACTGGATATATTGTGCTGCTGCTGTTATCATTAGCTTGTTTTATTTATTACTTGTTGCCCCCGCCACTCTGGGCAGCTTCCAACAGAATATAAAAACTCAATAGAAACATCAGGCGTTAAGAACTTTCCAGTACAGGACTGCCTTCAGCTGTCTATGGAAAGTCATATAATTGCTTATCTCTTTGGCATGTGATGAGAGGGCATTCCATAGGGCAGGCACCACTACCAAGAAGGCCCCCTGTCTGGTTCATCCATCTTTAAGCACCTTGAAGTCACTTTGATTTCAGTGGGAGAAATTTACAGGGCAAGACATGTATACTCATTTATTTCCATGGATCTTACTCTCGGGTAAGCTGGTGTAAGGTTGCAACCTAGAACAAGTGCTGAACCTTCCCATCAACATCAGTAGGACTTGAAGGAACAGGCAGTGTATGGGGGGCTTCCATTCCCAGCCCCCTCACATGTTGGTGGAGCACCCATAAGTGCACCCTGCCCCATTTTGCCCTGACCCACCCCATTCTGCCCCATCCCACCCCCTTTCCCACTCCCGTTCTGCCCTCTTCCAGGTCCAAAAGGACCCGCGTGTCGGTGATTGAGAATCAATTGGACACTCCTAAAATGGTCACTGCCTAAACAGTACGGCTGGATTGTGCCTACTGTGTTCAGTCCACAGAAGCAATTATAAAATAGCAGAAACGTTGGATTTTGCAGTTAAATTTACTCTGAGTTGCTCCACTAGCTAAAGAAAATACTCTCATTTTCAAGTTCAAAGGTGGTGGGTGAGCAAAAGACTTTGTTTTGAATAGAAACCATCTAGGTCTCAAATATTGTTTTCAGCTCTGAAAACTGTGCTATGTATCTAAATGATTTGGATCCAAACTCATTATGTACATGAAAGGTCAGTAATCATTGCTAGAATTTGACGTGTCTTCAGCAGCCTGTTGTGTTCCTCTTATGCTGCAGTTTTCCGTTAAATGCCAGACATAATGAAATAGCAATCAGTGTGTATTGGTGTGTATTATCTAGGTCCTGAATAGGATGCAAAGGTAACAATGCACTGATTACTGCACTGTGCAATGTGCTGTTCGAGGAGAAAGTTACAGAGATTAAGCCCTCCAGACATTTCATATGAATGCTTGGTTTTCAAAGTGTTTCATCAATAAGAAGATAGGAGCTTGGACTAGACTGGGAATGATTTACATTTGCATCCAGCGGCTGCTTCCCAGGAACCTCACATTATATTCTAACAAAAATCCTTGAGAGATGGTGATTGGGGCTGAGGCAAGGTTACGCAGTAAGGAGCATGGCTGAGGTCTACACCAGACAGGTTCCCTTAGTCTTTCATTGCAGTAGAGGTCCATGTGTGCTAACATTCAGGTGTTGAATTCATTCATTTATTGGGGACTTGCATTGAAAACGGGTAGTGGGGGGGGGGGGGGGAGGCAGCAAAACAGCCACAGGCTCAACCTCAAAGTAACCATACCAGTCACACTATGAGAGAAGGAGGGAGCCAGATAAGGCAGAAGGAGGAATATGGGCTTAAATAAATTCTCTTCAGCCCCACCCCCTACATCATGGAGATGCCAGTCAGGCCCACAAACATCCACAGTAAAGATGGAGGCTGTGGCTTCAGCCGGTAGCGACAACCTCTTCTGCAGCCTAACACATGTTTGGGATACAGAACTGGGAATATTTAGAGAGAAGTACAAGCATATTCCAGGTTAAACCACAGAGCCTAGGACTTGATGATCAGAAGGTTGGCAGTTCGAATCCCCACGACGGGGTGAGCTCCTGTTGCTCGGTCCCTGCTCCTGCCAACCTAGTAGCTTGAAAGCACGTCAAAGTGCAAGTAGATAAATAGGTACCGCTCCAGCGGGAAGGTAAACGGCATTTCCGTGCGCTGCTCTGGTTCGCCAGAAGCGGCTTAGTCATGCTGGCCACATGACCTGGAAGCTGTACACCGGCTCCCTCGGCCAATAAAGTGAGATGAGCACCCCAACCCCAGAGTCGATCATGACTGGACCTAATGGTCAGGGGTCCCTTTACCTTTACCTTTACAACCATATCCCAGTCTTTTCTCTTAGCAGTTTTCATTGGTTTGCCAACTCAAATCAGTTGCTTAGAAATCTGCTGTGTATTTACAGTGAGGGCATGCAGTTTCAAAATTACATTGGCTGAACCAACATTGATCTTTTAAACATTATTAGAATGGCACAAGATACAACGTTCCATAACATTTAATACACTTTCCCTTTGTTGGTGGTTCACTGCTCTGCAGCACCTTCTGGTGCCACATTTTAATAACGGATTATTAACGTTATAAACCACAAGTGTAAATCTGCCCGTTGTCTGGTCAGTTGGCTACAAAACATCAGTTGTCATATGGTTGTGCTTCTCTAATTATGGATATTTCACAGTTAGGCTACCTACAACAATGTGATCTATTGATTCAGTAGGCTGATAGTATTTGCAACTTCCATGATATCTGCAGTTTTAGCGATGAGTGATATCTGAACTTAAGTGAAGTTGATAAATCCTTTTTACCAAGTATCATTGTTTTCTTTTATAAACCAAGGTTTCTTTTTGGGGGGGGGCTACTGAGTTTCCATCCCATTGGGGGTCCTCCTTGAACCAGCTCGTCTGTGTAGGTAGCATATGTGGCACTATTCTCCAGGAATCATAGAAGAAGGCAATCAAGGGATGCTTCAAAACCATGCCTTAATGGCAGACTCCTTTTTTTGCTTCTGCCAATATCAGAACTCTATCATCATTAAGTAGAGGGCCATGTTGAGGCAGGTATGGCCTCCATCTCTGAGGTTGTGAACCTCTTCCACTGCCTTCAGATACAGCAATCCAAAAAGTCCAGTGTCATAGGACTGCAGCATTAAGAAATCATAAATGTCACTATGACTATTTCTAACAGGTTCCTTATGAGAATATCTGCTGTCCTGCTTCTGTTCTGGAAAACAAAGACGGAAATGTACTTATAAATCTCGACATTTTTAATTCCTGTATTTAAGTTAATCATTGCAGTCTGGGCCATTTTATAGGTTGATGTGGGATTCAAAGAACAGTCCATAGATTCAGGAAGGGAAACTGTGGATCATTTAGTCCAACCCAAATATGCAGCTGTCCCTTACGGGGATCGAATCTGCAATCTTTGCGTTAGCAACACCATGCTCTAACCAACTGAGCTATGTTGGGGACATGTAAAGTACTAGCATAATTTCCAAGTATAGCTTCACATAATCTTTTAAATTAGGTTAGAATAACATCTTTACTACTAATACTTCGCTTATGGCATTCCTTCTCAGGTTATTGTGCTTGTGTTATGAGAAGCCTTCCCCATAAAGCTAGCAACCTTTGTCTGTCCTAGAAAAGCACTGCTATACACACAGACGCACAAACACACACAAACCCTAATTTCCTAAGCATGTCTTTTATTTCTAAGGCAGTCAAGCTTTCTCTGTTCAGAAGTTGTTTGTGTCGCTTATTTTCGGCAGCGTTCAGTTATAGGTTGGTTTCTCTCCCCCTCCCCCCTTCCAATATATAGTATCTGTAAGGGAGTGAATAAAAAAAACTGCTTGGGAGTTTGTTGAGTCATTTCTCTGCCAGATAGTTTATATCATAGTCTCCAAGGAGAAAAGATAACATTTAATTCACTTTACTACTTGACCTTGTCTTCTGTCATATAGCACTGGCTGTGAAATGCTCAGCAAGTTCAAAATGTGCTGATTCATGAGATACTCAGATCTTTCTTTCTTTTTTTTAAGGAGTCTTTATGACAAATCGGAGATTAATTAGCCCTGGGGAACTGACGGCTGAAGGAATTGCTCTTCTTCTCTAATAACCATGTTTATCATCTTAATGCCAAATTTACTTCCAGCTATTTAGTTGATGGCATAAATATGTGATGAACTGGACCTGCTGCTTTTGGCATCAGATAAATTGCGAGGTTTGCAGAGATCTTCATTGGCCTTTCAGTCAGGATCCCTTCTTCAAAGGAAGAGACTACAAGTAAGATGTATTGGAGGAGGAGGAGGAGGAGAAATCGTAAAGCTGCTCATGGTTTAGTTTCCTTAACCATAAGCAAGCATTATGGAAGAATACCAAAACCAAGATAAATTTAAAATTGTTACCAACCATGAATCATCAAACCAAAGCTATGTATTACATCTGCACCAGGCAAACCATGACTACAGCATGGTCGCATACATACTTACTCAGAAGTAATTCCCACTGTGTTTTCTACGACTTAACTAGTAAGGGAGTTTAGAATCACAGCTTCAACATAGTTTTCCTGCCTCTTCACTCTTGCTTCATTTCTCTGATGAAAATAGGGATGTCCTAACATATCCTCAAGGGACGTGGGTGGCGCTGTGGGTTAAACCACAGAGCCAAGGACTTGCCAATCAGAAGGTCGGCGGTTCGAATCCCCGCGACGGGGTGAGCTCCCGTTGCTCAGTCCCAGCTCCTGCCAACCTAGCAGTTCGAAAGCACGTCAAAGTGCAAGTAGATAAAAAGGTACCACTCCGGCGGGAAGGTAAACGGCGTTTCAGTGCACTGCTCTGGTTCACCAGAAGCGGCTTAGTCATGCTGGCCACAAGACCCAGAAGCTGTACGCCGGCTCCCCTGGCCAATAAAGCGAGATGAGCGCCGCAACCCCAGAGTCGGTCACGACTGGACCTAATGGTCAGGGGTCCCTTTACCTTTACCTTTAACATATCCTCACACATTTCTCTGATAAAATAGGAGTGTCCTAAGGAAAAGTGGGACATTCCGGGAACAAATTAGAAACCGGGACAGCTTCTGTAAATCTGGGACTGTCCCTGGGAAATGGGGATGCTTGGGGGGGGTCTAGCATAATTGAGGGAGGAAAGGGCCTTCCATATATACAAAAATACAGTTCATGCGAGGGTCCTGGGCCTCTGTGGGTGGAGAAGCATGTCTCAGTTTGTATGTAGGTCCCCTTACATATGTAGGAGTCTTCTGCACTGGCAGTGTTGGCATCAGGAGGCTGAGGTGGTTTCAAGTTGAGGAATGCCTCTGCTCAATCCTGCCTCTACTCTCAAAAGCCCAGCATAAAATAGTGATGATATTTGGAATCCAGCCTCTATTACTTTGGCCGATAGCTGGTTGTTTAGCTTTTTCAGTTTGGTTTAGACTTGCTCCTTTTATTTGTGCTTGTCTTGACAACATGTTCTGGTTGTTGTTGCTTTTTTAATAATTATTATTTTTGCCACACTCTGATATCATGTGTTGATGAAGGAAGGGTTCAAAATGTTTTGAATGAATAAAAGACAGCCTGGATAGCTCAGTTGGTTAGAGCATGGTGCTGATAATGGCAAGGTTGCAGGTTTGATCCCTGCATGGGACAATTTCATATCCCTGTTTTGCAGAGGGTTGGACTAGATCATCCTCTAACTCTATTATTCTATGAAGTGGAAGTGACACAGACAAGAAAACGACAGATTTTCTTTTAGAATCTGTCAACTGATTAATTCAGCACATATTTTTAGTCTTATCATTTTTAATCAATCAGCCTAGTTGATTTAATCAATTCAGTCCTGCGGTTCTAGTAGATAGTAGATATACTTTTGAATTGCACGTTAAGTGGCATTGCTGGGTTTGCTTTTTTTTTGTTTGTGGGACTGAAAGATTGACGTTTTTCTCATTAGGCTTCCAAATGTACATATTCTCATGTTATCCTGTGTAATTGCTTCACCGCCTCTCTCTTAAAGAAAATTATGTATTGATTTTGTTTCTTTGCAAATAGCTGTGGCTCAGATGCCCACACGAAGGGCAGTTTATGTGCATATGTGAGCGACAGATTGATTGAACACTGCAGTGAGTGAATTTAGTGCCACTTGCTCAGTGATCTAAGCTTTATTTTCTCTGAAGATGAAGTTCTTCCAAGGGACTTTTCTAGACATAAATTTCCTCCTTTCCTTCCATCGGGCCTCATAAGCCCTAAACGTGAGGCTCGGATAAGGAAGGGGAAGAGATGTTTCAAAAGACATAAAACAAATATTCTGGCTTCTGTGGGTTTTTCTTACTGATTTTCTTAACATCCTGAAATTCTGCTGCAATATATATATTTTTTCCAGTCTAGATTGTAACTGCAGCCATTTACTCTGCACAGGAGCCATTAATTCTGTTCTAGCAATTGGAGAGAAATTTGGTTTGGTTTGCATTTTTATGTGAACCTAATTGATCCACATTTACATTTCCTGCAACTATATAGAATCATTGGATCGCAGAGTTGGAAGAGACCATGAGGGTCATTTCGTCCAACCCGCTGCAATGCAGGAATGAGGTCTGAAGGGAAAGAGAAATAAAAAATACCAGCCGCCAGGAAAACCAGTTATGCTATGAGCAAGGGTAAGAGGGTAACTAACCCATTAACCAGAGGCCTTGGAAAAGGTGAGAAAGTGGTGATGGAGAGTAGGATGGTCCTGACCTAACAACCAGAGGCCTTGGAAAAGGTGAGAAAGTGGTGCAACCTCAAGTTATGGACGTGAGGCTAGGGAGGGGAGGCCTTGTACGCAGGGGTTGATGATTCTCACGTGAGAAGCCAGATCAAAAGATAACCGTGTATAAAATACACTTCCGTATTGAAGAGAAATATTGCAGGTAATGTCTGAATGTAAGATTATAGAGGGTAGTGATTAGTGGATATCCATGAGGTTGTACAGTAATGCACGGTATACATATACGTTCTTAAGTCATATATATATATATATATATATATATATATATATATGATATAATACTTAAATAATACTCGTATGGTATATAAAGTTATGTACGAATGGTTAATACATATTATGTAAAATTTATAGTAGGTAGTATATATAAGGATATTCATGGGGTAAGTATGTAATGCATAATTACCGTATTTTTTGCTCTATAAGACTCACTTTTTCCCTCCTAAAAAGTAAGGGGAAATGTGTGTGCGTCTTATGGAGCGAATGCAGGCTGTGCAGCTATCACAGAAGCCAGAACAGCAAGAGGGATTGCTGCTTTCACTGCACAGTGATCCCTCTTGCTGTTCTGGCTTCTGAGATTCAGAATATTTTTTTCTTGTTTTCCTCCTCCAAAAACTAGGTGCGTCTTGTGGTCTGGTGCGTCTTATAGAGCGAAAAATACGGTATACATATTAATATGTATAACATGGGGCTTGAACCCATGACTCTGAAAGTGTCATATCCACCAGGATGTGTGTGTGTGTGTGTGTGTGTGTGTGTGTGTATAAATGAGCTGTCTTTTGAAATTCACACTTTTCCAGATTTTGTGGCACACTTACCCAAACCTGAATATATTAGGGCACAGGTGGACAAGTGGATCTTGTTGGCAGGCCAGATTGCTATCTCCTGCACATACACATCATGGGCCAACTTTGATGTTGATGTTGTGCAGTGCAAGAAGTGCAAGGTCTTGAAAGACCTACATTGGCTCCCAGTACATTTCTGAGTACAATTCAGTTCAAATTGTTGGTGCTGACCTTTAAAATCCTAAATGGCCTCTTCCCAGTATACCTGAAGGAGCGTCTCCACCCTCATCATTCTGCCCGGACACTGAGGTCCAGCGCCGAGGGCCTTCTGGCGGTTCCGTTCCTGCGAGAAGCCAAGTTACAGGGAACCAGGCAGAGGGCCTTCTTGGTAGTGGCACCTGCCCTGTGGAACGCCCTCCCACCAGATGTCAAAGAGAACAACAACTAACAGACTTTTAGAAGACATCTGAAGGCAGCCCTGTTTAGGGAAACTTTTAATGTTTGACGGACTATTGTATTTTAATATTTTGTTGGAAGCCTCCCAGAGTGGCTGGGGAAACCCAGCCAGATGGGCAGGGCATAAATAATAAATTATTATTATTATTATTATTATTATTATTATTACTCATATTCTGTTTCTGTAGACTAGGGGTAGTCAACCTTTTTATAGCTACCGCCCACTAATGCATCTTTCTTGATGGTAAAATTTCCTTACCGCCCATCAATGCTTGATGCAAGGAGGATTCAGCTTGTGTCGCAGAACCCCCTACCACCCACCTAGAATCTTGAAACACCCACTAGTGGGTGGTAGGACCCAGGTTTCAACCCCTGCTGTAGACTATCCTCTGCTTTGCTTCCTAATAGCAGTTTGACTAGTGAAGCTTCCCATTGCCTAAGAATATTCTCATATCTACCAAAAATACCAAAAAGACTT